CCCGCGGCTGCAGGCGTGTCGCCTGGTGTCCCGCAAGGCCGCCAGCGTCCGCGCCCAGCGCGCCCCAGAAAGAGGTGAGTGCGCGCGCGCCGTGCGCGCCACGGCGGACGCACCGGGACATGGGAGGGACCCAGGACAGGGGACCCCAGGGCCGTGGAGACCAGGACGGTGGGGATCCCGAGGTGGGGTGGGAAACCGGGACGGTGGAGAGATCAGGGTTGCCGAACCCGGGAGGGTAGGTATCCCAGGGTGGGGTGGAGACGCCGGGGGAGGGGGTGTGGAGACCCCCCAGGTGGTGGGGACTCGAGAGTGATTGGGGGACCCTTTGGCCCCAGGCGTCCCACAACTTCCCGCAGACTTCGCTGCCCAGCTCGGCTCCTTTTGGCCGCGTGCCTGGCATTGGGCGGGGGCGTGTCCCGCGCGTGGCAGCCTCAGGCCCCTCTATGCGCCGGGCTTGGCTGTCAAGTTGCCAAGCAGTCGGGCGAGGTGGGGGCAGGAGGCCTCGGGAGGAACCGCTTCCCTCCACCAAGTGTTTCGAATGTATTATTGATGAGCTGCCTCGCTTAGGGGCGCCCAGCACATCAAAGCAGCTCCGCGAGACCGCAAAGGGCGACCCGCGCAAAGCAGGCACTTCTCCTGGCAGGGCTGGCCTGGGCAGATCTGGGGAGGGTGCTTATTTAAAAGAGGACCCGCAGCTTCCCTGGGGGGACTCTGAAGGCAGGAGGGACTTCTGGCCTTTGCCAAGAGAACAGTGTAGCAGCAATGTAGAAGTCACTCCGGAGAGAGTATAGAAATGCCAGAACACACCCTGTTTTACAGATGAGGAAACTGAGTCCCAGGCGGCTTCTCCCGAGTGGCAAACTCTGATGTCTCTCTCCAGCCTGAGACACTTCCAGGAGGCCCTGTCTTGGGTTGTGCTGCCAGCTAAGAGCACCCACCCCTTACCTGTCCAGACTGCTTTCCTACCCAGGCCACAATGCAGACTGGTGCTGTCTAGGCCATACCCACCTCCGGTCCCCTCCTGGTCCCCTCCCCTGGGTCCAGGTCCTCTGCACAGGAGAGAGGCGGTGTATTTATGGAAAGACTTAATCCCTCCACCAGCCCCAAGGCCTGGAAAGCTGTGTCTAATCTGTCCCTGGAAGGCCTCAGCTGGTGGGCACACACCAGGCAGGAGTGTGCGTCCCCTAGGGAGGTGTAGGTCACTCGGGAGACTCCTTGTCCTCTTCCTGGGCGGAGGACGCTGAGATGTCAGTGCTTAGCCAGCAGGCGGCCTGTGCCAGACCTGTGCTGGCTGTTTTCACACTCACACCAGCCCTCTAACTAAAGCCTCTTCTTGTCCCCATTTTAAAGGCAGGAAACTGAGGCAAGGAGGTAGATAAGACCAAGTGTTAGCCCTGAGGCAGCAGGAGACGGCTCTCATCCTGGGGTGGGAAAGCTAGGCCAGGCCTGTAGAATCATGGGAAATAGACCCACCATAGAGACTGATAGAGGATAGCCCACTCAAAAGAAACCCATCATTCTCCAGGCCCCACACAGCCTTGGTTTCCTGATAGTAGCCACTAAGGTCATAGTACCCATCTCTCCTACGTCCCTGTGTTCAATCTTTCAGAAAAAAAAATTTTTTTTTTAATTTATTTTCATGTGTACGAATGTTTTGCTTGCATGTATGTCTGCCCCATATACATGCCTAGTGCCCTTGGAGGGCACTGGATCCCGTAGAGCTGGAGTTACAGATGGTTGTGAGCTACCATGGGATGCTGGGAACAGAATCCAGGCCCTTTGCAAGAGAAATACATGCTCCTAACCACTGAGCCATCTTCCCCTCACCCCATCCCACCCTCCATGTTCAATCTTGACTGCTACAGAAACCATGAGGACACTCTCTTGCACTGTAGGCTTTATTGTTTAGCAGATGTTTGTAATGGTGTAAGAGAGAGTGGAGCATTAAGTACCACAAAGTGGCCCAGAGCAGGCAGCAGGCTGGTGAGAAGCTGAGGCTAGCCCTAGGTGGGGTCTTGGTGGCTTCTGGCCTCTCTAGTTTCCCTGAGACTTTCAGGTTGGCAGGCTGGCCTTGGCGGGGAGGTACCTCAGCCGGCATCTGTTCTCAGCATGGTGCCTGGGCTGGAATTGAAAGAATGCTAATCCTGTCACACAAAGGGACCTTCCTAAGCAAGGAAGAAACCCAGATGTGAGTGTGCCCATGCTGCTTGAAGCTCTGCTGTGTGGGGGAGCTTGGGAAACAGCTCAGGGACCAGGTTGCCCTGCCCAGCCTCCTCCAGCCTCTCAGGTAGCCAGCGGTCTGACTGCTCCTGCGCAGCCTGGTCCTTAAAGGAGGGCTTTGTTAAGGAGGTGAGGCACAGTGCCACTCAGGCTCTCTTGGCAGGGTAATTCTCATCTCATGTGGGAGGTGACTGGGCAGAGACCATGGCCGGGGGGCTCCCAGTCCAACTGCCTACTTACTATTCATTCTTCCGCTCAAGACAGCTGATGTCGGAATTAGGACTATGGCTAAAGTAGCCAAGGGTCCAAAGGAGAAAGTGAAGAGGCCCAGCTCTGGCCAGTTGCAGGTCCCCACTGAACCACATGTGGGACCCCGGCATCCTGCCTTCAGCTGGGGCCTGTCACTCCATCCCTCAGCCGCTCTAGGTTTGTGTCGCCCGGGAGCCCAGTCCCCCCAGACCCAGGCTGGAGCCTGCCTTCTATGAGCAGGTGCATATCATAATGACTTCTTTCTCTTGTGTTGCAAACCTGTGACAGCCAGGTGGTGAAGTCACTCCTGATGGACACTGGTCCATGGAAGACCTCATTGTCCACTTGGTGTCTCTTCCCCCGCCTCCTGCTTGTATTGATCAAATGGGTCCTAAGGAAGGGGTTGCAGGAAGGTCAGGAGAACATGGGTGGGAGCAGTTCTAATTCTACACGGACTAGGGACACACACGGACTAGCCTGTTAGAGTTCAATCCATTCCAGTAATCTGCATTGAGAAGACAGGGGCTGGGCTGTGGCTCAGTGGCACAGTGGACATGCCTGCTGTGCACGAGGTCCTGGGTTCTATCCCCAGCACCACAATGAACAAATGAAGTAGACAATGAAGTAGAATGTGGGCACTGACTAGAACGCTTGAGAAGTCAGCAGAGAGGGTTACAGATGGAAGATTACATGCCGTGGTAGGTTTCATCTGCCCCACAGCCTGCGGGTCCTCTATCCCTGAGGCTGACCACTGTCCTGTGGCCCCTGAAAGGAGAGACTGGAGTGTTGCATCCACACCCTCAGTCCTGACCAACCTCACCTGAACTTTCCTGGACAGCAACCCTCTGCCCTTGGCACACACTCTGCCCAGATGTGGTCAGCAGGTACTGTGACCTCATAGCTGGCTTATTCCATCACTGCTTCCTGTTGTGTGCCCAGCTGGCCAAGTAGGGGCCTGGCCACATGTGGCCGGGACAGTGACATCCCTCGTCCTTCTCTGAGTGCTCTCCTCTCTTCACAGGCCTGCAGAGGCGGCGCCATGGGGCTGAAGCCCTCCTGTCTGAAAGGTAAGGCAGAGTGGGGGTGGGGGTGCTGGGGCAAGAGGTCTGGGGGAGCAGGGAAGGAGGAGCTGGGCTGGAGATAGTATGGGATGACCCAGAGGCCTGGGATGCTGATCTAGACTGGATGGGTCCCCGTCTGTAAAGGCAGACCACATATACAGTAGGTACTCTATAAATGCTTACTCTGCCTCTGTGACCCCCTCCAGACCTTCCTTCACCAGAGGCTGGTACCCAAAAGCTTCAACTTCCTCCTCAGAGGGGAAGTCCCAGAAAAAGAGGTGACCTGGGAAGAGGGAAGGAAGCCTGAGCAAGAAGCCAGGCATAGCTTGGGGAGTTGCTTCCCAGGACACCCTGGATGCCTGCCATCACCCAGGCAAGAGGTCAGCTCGGCTAGTACTGAGAGAGAAAAAAAGGCCATCAAAAAGTTCTAGAAGGTGGGGGGCTGGAGAGATGGCTCAGCAGTTAAGAGCACTGACTGCTCTTCCAGAGGACCCAGGTTCAATTCCCAGCACCCACATGGCAGCTCACAACTGTCTCTAATTCCAAGATCTGACACCTTCACGTAGACATACATGGAGGCAAAACACCAATGCAAATAAAATAAAAATAAAAATTCCTTTTTAAAAAAAGTTCTAGAAGGGTGCAGAATCAGTGAGTGTATTGGTGGAGGCAGCACAGACCTCTTCTGATATCCAGAGGGAACCTGAGGCATTATGGCCCCCATGGGAGACACCTGAAACCTTCTGATGTCCCCCTGTGACACAGGCATGGTCCCCACCATCATCTGCCAGCCTTGAGGTCCAGACCTGCCCTGGACAGCCCTGCAAGGTAACATAGGTCCACCCCAACTGCTTGTTGGCATCCAACTTGCTGTGGCTCCATCCGTCTTCACAGCTCTCCCAGGCTGCAGGAACCATCCCAGTCTTAGTTCTCACTGCCTAGGGTGTTTCCTTTCCTTTCCTTTCCTTCTTTGTTGTTGTTGTTTTTTGAGACAGGGTTCTCTGTGTAACAGTCCCCGCTGTCCTGGATCTCACTCTGTAGACCAGGCTGGCCTCGAACTCACAGAGATCCGCCTGCCTCTGCCTTCCAAGTGCTGGGATTAAAGGCGTGCGCCACCATACCCAGCCCAGTGTGTTTTCTTGATGGCCACTGCCACACATGTACTCACTACCCCACATGCTGAACCACTAGCCTGAACTCCCCTCCCTGCCCACCCCAGTCTCCCCTCCTCAGCCTTCTCATGCACTTCTGCCCTCCAAGATCAGCCTGCTCAGAGTCTCGTGTTCCCCAACCTGCTCAAAGCTCTGGAGACCTTGATTTCCTTGTTCATAAAGTGGGGTCATGACATGGCATGGCTGTGGTGTTCAAGAGTGCCAGGCTCCCAGCACTCAGGCTGCCGCTGGAATGCAGCTCCTGTGATTATCTCATCCCTGTACCCTTCTGTTTCCTGGGCTTTCCAGCCTCTACTCCGAGGTCTTAGGGGACTTGAGGTCTCTGGGTACAGCTAAGGCATTGATTGCAGTTCACATGAACAAGATGAACTTCCAGGAAGACAGATAGAACCTTACCCCCCAGGAGAAATGGAAAGGCTGGGAAGGAGTGGGTGGATGTCTCCTGAGCTGCTTCTTACTTTTTGTGGGGAGTGGAGGGGGGGGGCAGGCATAGGATAGCATCTGATTGGCCCAACTGAGGTCTTGCACCTTGGCCTGGGAGGGTGGGGCATCTTGACTGACAGCTCCACCAGAACTTCTATCAAGGGGGCACTGTGCAGCTTGCAGGATGGCTCAGATGTTGGAGGAGCAGAGTCAGCCCTCACCGCACTCCAGGGCTGGCTCTCTCTAAGACCCCAGGCTCCCAGGAGCAGGTGAATGAGTGCCCATGTGTGGGAGTGGCTAAGCATGGGGCAGCTGGTGGCAGGGGGGTTAAAGCCTGAATGGGTCCCTCTCTTGCTGTGGCCATGAGTCTTAGCCTCATGTGGCTGTGGCTCCTCTATCTCTGTAGCTGTGAATTCATGTGTCTACTGTGTCTGTGGGTCCTCCTAGTGGCCCCGCACAAAGCATCTCTGTGATGTCACTTTTCTGTAACCATGTAGAATGAACAAAGTTTACCTGGTGACTAGTGAGTGCACAGTTTGGGGATATGCCAGTGAGTGCACAGTCTGGGGATATGCCAGTGAGTGCACAGTTTGGGGATATGCCAGTGAGTGCACAGTTTAGGGATATGCCAGTGAATGCACAGTTTAGGGATATGCCAGTGAGTGCACACTTTAGAGATATGCCAGTGAGTGCACAGTTTAGGCATATGCCAGTGAGTGCACAGTTTAGGGATATGCCAGTGAGTGCACAGTTTAGAGATATACCAGTGAGTTCACAGTTTGGGGATATGCCAGTGAGTGCACAGTTTAGAGATATACCAGTGAGTGCACAGTTTGGGGATATACCAGTGAGTGCACAGTTGTTTAGGGATATGCCAGTGAGTGCACAGTTTGGGAATATGCCAGTGAATGCACAGTTTGGGAATATGCCAGTGAGTGCATAGTTGTTTAGGGATATGCCAGTGAGTGCATAGTTGTTTAGGGATATACCAGTGAGTGCACAGTTT